GTTGCAGATTCAATCCCCAGCAGGGGGCATGCAGGAGGCAGCCAATCATGACTCTCTCATTATTGATGTTTCTATCTCTCTCTTCCTTCTCTCTGAAATCAATAAAAATATATTACCCCCCCCCCCAAAATATGGTAGCTGAATGGAGAAAACAAGAGCCATATATATCCTATGTACAAGGGACTCACTTCAGATTGAAAGACACAGACAGACTGAAAGTAAAGGGATGAAAAATGACATTTCATGCAGATGGAAACAATAGCTGAGGTAGCAATACTTATATGAGACAAAATAGACTTTAAAACAAAGGCTATAATAAGAGATAAAGAAGGACATTACATAATGATAAGGGGATAAATCCAACAAAAGGATATAACCCTTGTAAACATTTATGTACCAAATATATGAGCACCTAAATATATAGAGCAAATCTTGATGGACATAAAGGGAGAGACCGACAACAATACAGTCACAGCAGGGGATTTTAACACCCCACTGACATCAATGGATAGATCTTCCACATGGAAAATCAACAGGAAAACAGTGGCCTTAAGTGACATACTAGATCATATGGATTTAATGGATATTTTCTGAGCATTTTACCCCAAAGCAGCAGAATATACACTCTTTTCAAGTGCACATGGAACATTTTCCAGGACAGACCAAATGTTAGGACACAAAACAAGTCTCAATAAACTAAAAAAGACTGAAATCATATCAAGCATTTTCTCCGAACATAATGCTATGAAACTTAAAATCAATCACAAGAAGAAAACTTAAAAACACACAAAGACATGGAGGCTAAATAACATGTTACTAAACAATGAATTTGTTAACAATGAAATCAAGGGAAAAAAATCAAAAGATACCTCAAGAAAAATGAAAATAGAAACATGGCAACCCAGAATCTATGGGACACAGCAAAAGCACTCCTAACAGGAAAATTCATAGCAATATAGGCCTACCTTAAGAAACAAGAAAAATCTCAAATAAACATCCTAAATTTACATCTAAAGGAGCTAAAAAAAGAACAACAAACAAAGATCAGAGCAGATATAAACAAAATAGAGCCTAAAAAACCCCAGAAAAGATCAATGAAACTAAGAACTAGTTCTATGAAAAGATAAACAAGATTGACAGACCTTTAACCAGACTCATCAAGGAAAAAAAAGAGAAGACCCAAATAAATAAAATCAGAAATGAAAGAGAAGTAACAACTGATACCACAGAAATATAAAAGATTATAAGAAAATATTAGGAACAACTAGATGCCAACAAAATGGATAATCTGGAAGAAATAGATAAATTCCTAGAAACATACAATCTTCCAAAACCGAATCAAGAAGAAACAGAAAATCTAAACAAACCATTTACAACCAACAAAACAGAAGTAGTAATGAAAAAGTCCCAACAAACAAAAGTCCTGGACTGGGTGGCTTCACAGATGAATTGTACCAAACACTGAAAGAACTAACACCTATCCTTTTCAAACTATTCCAAAAAATTCAAGAGAAGGGAAGACTCCCAAGCTCATTTTACAAGGCTAGCATTATCCAAAATCAGATAAAAACACTACAAAGAAAGAAAATTAGAGGCCAATATCGCTGATGAACACAGATGTAAAAATCCTCAACAAAATATCAGCAAACCAAATTCAGCAATACATTAAAAAGATCATAAACCATGATCCAGTGGGATGTATTTCTGGGATGCAAGGTTGGTACATTATCTGCAAGTCAATTAACGTGACATACCACACAAACAAAATGAAGAATAAAAATCATATGATCATATAAATAGATGCAGAAAAAGCATCTGACAAAATCTAGTATCCATTTATGATAAAAACTCTCAGCAAAGTGGAAATAGAGGAAACATACCTCAGCATAATAAAGGTCATATAAGACAAACGCACAGCTAACATCATACTCAATGGGAAAAACTAACAGTGTTTCAGGAACAAGACAGGGATGTCATCGTTTTCACCACTCCTATTCAAAATAGTACTGGAAGTCCGAGCCACAGTAATCAGACAAGAAGAATAAATAAAAGGCATTCAAATTGTAAAGTAAGAAGTAAAACTATCATTATTTGTAGATAACATGACATTGTATATAGAGAACTCTTAAGATTCTACCAAAAAAACTACTAGAACTGATACATGAATTCAATGAAGTAGCAGGATACAAAATAAATATTCAGAAGTCAGTTGCATTTTTATACACCAATAATGAACTATCAGGAAGGGAAACTAAGAAAACAATCCAATTTACAGTTGCATCAAAAAAATCCCAACAACCTAGTAATAAATTTACCCAAGGAGGTAAAAGGCCTGTACTTGGAAAATTATAAGACACTGAAGAAAGAAGGTGAAGATACAAATAAATGGAAGCATATACCGTGTTCATGGACAGGAAGAATCTGAATCATTAAAATGTCTCTATTACCCAAAGCAATCTAGAGATTCAGTGCAATTCCTATCAAAATACCAATGGCATTTTTCACAGAACTGAAACAAATAATCCAAAAATTTATATGGAACCACAAAAGACCCTGAATAGCCACAGCAATCTTGAGAAAGAAGAACAAAGTTGAAGTTATCATGCTATCTGATATGAAACTATATTAAAAGGCAATAGTAATCAAAACAGCATAAGCAGTGGATTAATAATAGACATACAGATCACTGGGACAGAACAGAGCACCCAGAAAGAAATCTATACCTATATGGTCAATTAATATATGACAAAGGAGGCAGGAACATACAAGGGGGTAAAGACAGTCTTTTCAATAAATGGTGTTGGGGAAATTGAACAGATGCAAAAATATTGAACTAGAATAGCTTCTTACACCACATACAAGAATAAGCTAAAAATAAAGATGTAAATGCAAGATTCAAAACCATAACACTCCTAAAAGAAAACCCAGGCAGTAAAATCTGACATCTCTCTTAGCAATAATTTTTTTCTGATATAGCTCCTCAGGTAAGGGAAACACACACAAAAATAAACAAATGGGACTACATCAAACTAAAAAGTTTTTGCACAGCAAAGGAAACCATCAACAAAATGAAAAGACAACTCGCTGAACGGGAGAGGATGTATCATTGGCCAATAATACATCTGATAAGGGGTTACTATTCAAAATTTATGAAAAACTTACTCAACTCAACACAAAAAACTCCCAATGAATACAATTAAAAAAATGGGCAGAGGTCCTGAACAGACACTGCTCCAAAGAGGACACATACATGGCCAAAAGACATATGAAGAGATGCTCAACATCACTAATATCAGAGAAATGCAAATTAAAACCACAATGCGGTATCACCTTACACCTGTCAGAATGGCTATCATCAATAAATCAATAAATGACAAGTGTTGGTAAGGATGTGGAGAAAAGGGAGCCCTTGTGTGCTGTTGGTGGGAATGCAGACTGGTGTAGCCAGTATGGAAAACAGTATGGAAGTTTCTCAAAAAAATCAAAAATAGAGCTGCCTTATAACCCAGCGATTCCGCTTCTGGGTATACATCCGAAGAAACCAAAACACAAATTCAAAAGAATATATGCACCGTTAAGTTCACTGCAGCATTATTTACAACAGCCAAGGTATGGAAGCACCCCAAGTGCCCATCAGTAAATGAATGGCTAAAAAAGTGGTGCTACACATACATAATGGACTACTACTCAGCCATAAAAAAGAATAAAATCTTACCATCTGTGACAGCATGGATGGAACTAGAGTATTATGCTAACTGAAATAAGTCAGAGAGACAAATACCATATAATTTCACTTATATGTGAAATATAAAGAACAAAATAAACAAACAAAATTGAAACAGACTCTTAGATACAGAGAACAGACTAATGGTTCACAGAGGGAACGGAGACTGGGTGAAAAAGATGAAGGGGTTAAGAAGTACACCTGGCGCCCTGGCCGGAGTGGCTCAGCTGGCCAGTGTACGGCACCCTCCCGTGCACTGAAAGGTTGCAGTCTGATTCCTGTTCAGGGGATGTGCTGGGGTTGTGGGCCTGATCTCTGGTAGGGGGCATGTAGGAGGCAGCCAATCGGCGTTTCATTCTCACATTGATGATTCTCTCTCTCTCCCTTCCTCTCTCTCTAAAAATCAATAAAAACCTTAAAAAAGAAAAAGAAGTATAAATTGGTAGTCATAACATAGTCACGGGATGTAAAGTACAACATAGGGAATATAGTCAATAATATTGCAACAACTACGTTATGGTGCCAGGTGGGTACTGAAAATATTGGGGGAGAGCACTTTGTAAAGTATATGATTGTCTGTCCACTATGCTGTACACCTGAAACTAATACAAAATAATATTGAATATAAACTGCAATTGAAAAATTAAAACAACAAAAAGAATAAAATCTTGCCATCTGCAACAACATGGATGAACCTAGAGGGTATTGTGCCGAGTGAAAGACGTGAGACAGAGAAAGACAAATGGCAGATGATTTCACTTATATGTGGAATCTAAAAAACAAAACAAACAAACAAGCAGACCAGAAACAGACTCATAGATACAGAGAACATTTTGAGGGTTGCCAGATGGAAGGGGGGTTGGGAGGCTGGGTGAAAAGGGTGAAGGGATTAAGAAGTACAAATTGGTAGTTACAGAACAGTCATGGGGATGTAAAGTACAGCACAGAGATCTAGTCAATAATATTGTAATGACTATGTATGGTGTCAGGTGGGTACAAGATTTATTGGGGTGGTCACTCTGTAAGTTATATATAAATGTCTAGTCATGGGTTGTACATTTGAAACTAATATAATATGGTGTATCAACTGTAATTGAAAAAAAAAAAATAGGAAGGTGCTAAAACATTTGAGAATCTAGTGAATGACAGGCAGAAACTTTACGGAAAAACAGAGCACAGAGAGAAATCCTAACCCTTTGTAATACAAGATGAAAAATGTGTCAACCATGTGAATAGGCACATGCACAGATAAGACTACTGGCTAATGGGGTGTTACCTTGGCAACTGTTTGTTCAGCGATGGTGCTGGGCCGCCGCTGGCGGGCATCTAGCCTCTGCTCCACAGGAAAACTGCTCCTATGTGATTTCAGGCGCTCCACCAACAAGTAATAAATGGCAGCGAAGTGATTGTAGCTCTTGTTCTGTAAAGACTGAAAGAGAAAACAAGTGCTGAAGGCCAAGAACCATAAAAACCAATCCAATGATCTATACATTTCTAAAAAAAGATGGAAGAAATCATGTGTTCTTTCTTAAAAACAGTTAACAAAGTATGCCTCAAAATAAAAGCTGTTCCAGAGTTTAGAATGAAAGACAGATCATTTCAAGTTCCTAGTGTTAATTATATAAAGGGTGATACCTTTAAATGACTTGACAGCCCCTTTGACATTAACAGGATCCATTTATTTTTTGGCATTCAGAGAAAAATGCCATCATTGCCTCATGCAGACATTCCCCAGTGCTGTCATATGGGCCCATCTCATAGCTGTAACTATGGCGTAAGGTCGGTTAGCAACCTGAGCCTAGAGGCTCTAATTCCATAGTTTCAACACAAGCCCAGGCCACTGCAAACTCTGAAGTGATTGATTAAAGTCTTTGGGGAACTTCCTGGTGATTATTTTGGGCTGGAGAATGATATTTGGATGCTAGATTGAGAGACACTATGTCTCTGTTCTTAGGTAATTTTTTCCTCTTGTTTTTGCAGTCCCGCCCTCCTGAAACCTTGAAAATAAAGTTGCCTCCCAATTTTTCACATCCCTTGTCTGCCAGATTTCCCAGGGTACTAATGAAACAGAAACAACTGCTCATTTGGCTTCTAATTCCACCTGACAGTCCGCACGGGCGCTGTGCGGGGCACCTAAGAGGCAGAGCACTCAGCAAAAACCCCAGGCCAGCGGACTGTGCTCGCAGCTGCCATTCTGCATCTACTTCATGGGCAAGCACAGAAGAACATCGAGCGCATGATGAGCAAAGCAGGAAAGCCTGCCTGGTTTCACTCAGGGCTATAAGGAAGGGAAAAGCAGCACGGTTTGGAGTGCTCAGTATTCACAAGGAAGCATTTAATATTCTTTCTTGTTATGGTCCCTCCTTAAAAGTACTGTTGTGTGTTTACTGTTGTGGAGGTATTAAGAATATGTATATCTTATGAATATGCTATTAAAGAAAGAAAAGTGATGAGAAATTTTCCAGGTTCAAGATCTCAGTTCTATGGCCCATAATATTTCCATATTAGGAATCGAGCTGTTTTTGTCTTCTCAGTTTCTCCAGGTCACAAGCTAAATCCAGTTGGCTTTCCTAAACCGAATGCCCACCATTCTTATTTTCTGCTCAGCCCTCGGCCTTGTTTCATAGCTGCACATCTGTTCCATATAAATTAGTTTACTACCTTTGTGAAACTTTATGGTTCATCTTAGAAGAAATTTGTTCTTTGTAACTGTTAGGCTTTTGTTTGTCTTTTCTCAGTTCTATATAAAGCCTTCCTCTTTTGGCAGATGGGGCAAAGGCAGGAATTTATACATTGAGTAAAAGCAATGACAACAGAAGAGTCTGATGTAGTCTTCAGGGAAAACTGAACAGTATGCCTAGGTGCTGGCCATGCTAAAAGACCAGGATGACAGGTATGAGCATGAAATTTCAAGTTACCGAGTACAACAGAATCCTAAAATATCTTCGGTCAAATCTCTGATCACTTTACCTCAATGGTTTTCTGCTGGTCTATTCCAAGGCTGTGCATCAGTCGCAGAACCTGTTCGTTATACTCCCCAATGGATGGCTCATTTTCTTGCCCTTGTGGATAGAGAGCAGGTCTCTGTACAGGAACTTCTACGAGCATCCACTTATGCTCCTTGATTTGAGCTATGGTTAGTCGTCTGGACGGGTCTAGGACCAGCATCCTTCGAATAAGGTGCTCACAATCTATGGAAAACACAATGCAACAAAAGTCATGTCAATCGCCTTGCACTTCAGGGTGTTTGTGTGATTCATGTGACTCTGGACAATGGCAGTAATCTTCGTGTCCTCCACAGTGCCCACTAGAAAGCGGAAGGTCAAATGAATAAATGCATACATGATGGTTATTTATATTTGTCAAGTCCTCAGGATGAATGCTGACACACTGAATTAACCATCACCGTGAACGAATACTTAAGAACAGGAGGCTCCAGGTCTATCCAATTCTGTGCTAAATGAACCTTTCTACTGAATTTGTGATTGCAAATACCTAGACACAGACTTAGATTTACACTAAAGGAAAAAACAAGCCTTCTTCCTAGAATAAGCAAATAATAAATGATCCTCAGTCATGTCTAAGGCTGATACGCTAAGGCTTTGTGAGGCAAGAGCTTGCCAGTGGACTGCTGCTTTCTCTATCAATGCAGCGGAGAAAAATGTACGTGAAACATTATTTACTTCTGATTACACTAAGAAAACTACCCTGCTGCAAGTCTGGGCACTAGCTTATTTTCTGAGTTGACATCATGCTCTTTACCACCCCACATAAACTAACCTTTCAGATCACTTGCTATGTGCCAGGCACCATGCTAAGTGCTTTATACAGATTAATTTAATTAATCCTCACAACAGCTCTATTAGGAACTATGGTTATTTCCATTTTATAGATTGAGGAAATTGAAGCACAGAGAGGAGATATAACTTGCCAAAGATGGACCTTCAGTAAGTGGTGAACTCAGGACTGAAACCAGGCAGTCTGGCTCCAAAGTCTACACTCCTAACTACTGGAGCATTGTTTCTACTGTTACTAGGAACAAAAGAGTTAAGGGCGATAACCCAAAACGAATCTAAGGAGTAAACTTAACTGCTGCCTATGTCACAACCCAATATAAGACTAGTTGGGATTATGGCATTTCATCTTAATTCAATAGTTTCGCCAGTTGGTTTTCAAATTTAATTTCAAAATTTTAATTTTTCAACTTCCTGCCAAAAGATATGAGAAAATCCATTTCAAACTTAGAGTAAAATGGTTGTGAATCTGTATCTACAAAGAGCCTCTCTCAGTCTAAAATAAACCTGGGACATTTATAGACCAAGAGTAAGTGGGAAGACTTGCTGCTCTTAATCTGGGGAACTTTCTGTTTTTAGCAGGAAGGCTGGAACTTCTCTCACCTACATGGAGGGGCTGCTTATTTCCACAGCTTTTAAAGTAACTCAGTCACTTTATTTAGCACCCAAACTCTAAGGGTGGCTTTGCCTAGGCGGTTCATTTGGAGCACAAATTCTGTAATGCCCAGTTAGTAAGAGGAACAGGTTGTTACCTTCTGACATGAAATATGGAATCCGGAATCTTCCTTCCAAAACCCTTTGCCTCAAAATAGGAAGAGTTGGTCCATCAAAAGGCAGAGCTCCACAGACAAGAACATAAAGAACAACTCCCATGCTCTAGGGGAAGAAAACCACAGGGTCATTTTTCTACCAAGAACTTCAAACATTCTTTGTTTTCCCAAATATCCCCAGGGCTTTTAAAACCCTATGGACTAAAAAATTCCTGTTTGAATTTACTATTTTCTTGAATTTGAAAAAAAAATCTGAAACCCGAATTATTACAATAAAGTATCCTATAATAAATACCAAAATATCTGAATTTAATCATTTTGATTACTACTTAACTTTAAATTATTGCTCCTGTTAGAATGATAACATCTGTCCTTAAAAATTCTTTCCTAGAATCCAATTCAAGATGCTCAACTTATTAGAGTTCAGCGGACAGGAAAGTATGAACTACTTACTGCCTATGTCTTAGATACCAAGAGCTTCAAAGATGGGCCAGAGTACCAAGTACTATCACTATAGAAGCACTTAACACAGCAAAGCAAAGCAATACCCAAATGTCCAGCTGCGGTCCTTCATACTGCTGCCCTTCAAAGACTTCCGGGGCTGCGTAAGGCGGGCTGCCGCACCAAGTTGCCAGCAGCTCGCCACTTTTAAAGAAGTTTCCAAAACCGAAATCTATTGGAATAGAAATAAATGTTACTTTCATCTATGGTCTCAAACTATACTGAATTTCTCTGTAACAGATTTTATAATATGCTATATTAACAATATCACTACTATTTACTTTGTGAGGAAAGGGATGCCATCTACCTTGTGAGGTTCCCCTAGCACTCAGCATAATGACTAGCGAATATTAAGCATTCAAAAAATATTTCTTGAATGAATGTATAAAGGAATCAAGTTTTCTTCTCAAAGAGAGTAAGAGATTGGAAAACACTTTAATAATGTATTTTTAAGGCTGAAAGAAAATCCACTGGTGTGGACAACCAAATTGAATTTGATAATCTCAGAATTTTA